GTGACTTTGCAGAATTCCCAGCTGGCTGATGTGGGATCAGGAGCCTCAAGCCTGACACCTTTCCACGTTTCAGAACCAAAACCAAAACAGGAGGGTGGGTATTTCCTCTCCCAGCCCTGTGACAAGGCAGTAGCCAGAGGTGTTGTTAGGAAGGGCAGTGTCTCACAGGAGCTCTGTTCCCCTGTCAGCTGTGCCACCTACTGTGGTGACAGGGGATCTCCAGTGACAAACAGAGCACCTGCTCAGCCAGACCCGTGTGCTCCTGTCACACTGTCCTGGCTCTGACAGGGGCACTTGGGGATGTATTTGGGGAGCTCCTGTGAGGCTGGCCACCGTCTCATCCTGGGGAGAGAATGCTGTTAAAGCCTTATGTGTGTATGGTGCTTACTCCAATTCTGCCACAGAACTAATCAGAAAATCAAGACTGATGCCATGGAGGTTTTCCGGGCATTTGTTTGACACTTTCTGTATTGGATCCCCACCCAAGCAGGTAGAAAAATTGAAAGGTAAAAGTATTCATGTACTTTGGAGGAAACCATGGCCCTGAGTGGCATTCTGCCCCAACGCTCTCCCCTACTATTTGGAGTATCCCGGCTGTGAAGATTGGACACTCTTGTGCAGCTTGGCACAGCCGTCAGCAGGTGGCACAGGAGGAGCATGGCTGGCAGGAAAAGCTCTTCCGTCCCAAACAGAGCGGAGATACTTTCACTCAGTTGCGATTAACTCCGTGAAAAGTGGCGGGTTAGTAATGAGGGCACCCCAGATCCAGACTTGCTTTCCATTATGAGCCATGAGATTCTGGAAGGCAGCTAAAAGGGACCGCTTCAGGCCTGGTGCCATTCTTCTTTAAGGACAGTGTCCCAGCCTGGACACAGATGTCACCCCCAAACGTCTTACCCAGGCTGAGAAGCACAGAGCACACAGGTTTTCCATTTATTTTTAAGGACATGGGTTGTGATCCTTCGTTTGCTCTGCTGTTTTTCCCAGTTAGAATGTATTTCATCCTTGCTTAGCTGACTCAAAACATCTAAGAGGTCTAAAGCCACTTTTTCCTACTTAACCATAGTAATCTGCCTTGGAATTCCTTCTTGGGTTTGAGGTAGAGCTTATTGCTTGCCCTACCAGTCTCTTGCTGAATTTCCTGTACTTTCTCTGGATTTCTGTGCTGTGACAGTAGTGTCAGTGACAGCTTTCCCTACATCCCTTTTCCTCCTCAGTTTGTTTCCCATGAGCCATTTGCCAGCCTTTTCAGTTCATTAGTCAGTCTGTGGAAGTTTCACTTTCTGTTTTGTTGTTCTTCATTCTCCATTTCCCTATCTGGTACAGCTGCATTCCAGATGCCCTTTCATGGTTGGTTCCTGTTGCTTCTTACCTCCTCCCAGGCATAAACTACAGTATAATATATTTGGCTAAATTGTCTCAAGCTCATCTCAGACTTCACTGAAGTTGTGGTACTCAGCAGCTCTTAGGAATTAAATCATAAATGAGATTTTCCAGCAAAATCCTACTGACAGCCTCTCATGGTTGGTTCACATCTCGGAGACATCATGCTTTGACTTCCATGTGGATTCTTTCCGTTGTCAGGCCCATAGGAAATGCAGCATGAAAGACAGGTGAATTGTGGTGTTATTTAATACTCTTTCTTTCACTTAGGCTGAACCTTTTTTGAAATTCTGAATATGGGTCCTGATGCTCCCATATTTGAGATGCTGCTTTGCTGAAAGCTGTAAGAAAGTATTGTTTTATAAATCACATGATTTAATTCAGAATGGGGGCGTTTTTTGGATGTTTTCTGTGATGCCTGGCTACTCACCCTGTGGGGATTCTTGGGAAAGGATTCTACCAAATGAGCTGCAAGCTCTGATGGTAGTGCTTGTGTTCATAGCCTGAGTTTGATTACAGGTCTGGCATCACAGAGTTGCAGGGAGGTGCCTTCACTGGTGGAACATATTTTTCCTCCCTGGAATAAAAAGCCAGGGATATAAAACAAGGCTGCAGCAGGCATCTTCAGTGTGCCCTGAAGTGCAGTTCTGCTGACATCAAATCTGCATGTCCTGTTCTGAATCAGTCCCTGCAAGTTCCTCTTTCCCAGGTTCAGTGTGTGAGGGGGGGATGTCACTGGTCACTTCGTCATGTGGTGCCTGGGTCTGGTGACAGGGGAAAGCAAGAAATCCTTTCCCACACAGTCTTGTCAGAGGGCAGGGCAGGCCCTGAGCCAGCACCTGATGCAGTGGCTCCATCCTGAGGCATGGGTCACATGCTAGAACCAAGGCAGGGACACTTTTTGCTTCCCCCAAGTGTTCTCTTTGGTGCCGAGGGACACAGCTGACCTACACAAGGTATTGCAGACTGTGCTGAAGCCTCGTGGCTCCCATCCTAGGGCCCAGTTCTGCTTTTGGCCTATATTTAAGATGCTAAATACTCAGAATTGAGGCTGGCAGGCACCCAAGTGCAACAGGGCACTGGGGCTGCAGCCTGGGATCTGGCAAGGGATGGGGACAGAGGAGCTGGGTTCTGGAAGAAGCACAGACCTAGAAATAGCCAAAGGGTGCTGGGTTGCTTGGCTTGGCTGTCAGGCACCTTTTGCTTTCCCTTGCCCCTTCAGTGTTTTTTCCTCAGTGCCTCCTCTGTGCTGAGCAGATGATACAAACAGCTGAAGGCAGCTTTGCTGTCAGCAGCTGTCCTGAGTGGAGCCTGGTGCCCTGCCCACCCAAACAGCCCTGGGATTTTGTTTACTGCACTGGGAAAAAACCCACATTGTGGGGCCAGAGCTTTGCCTTCAGCCAGGCTTCAGTGCTGCAGCCTGGCTCTGCACTGCCCTCAGGGGCCGGGTGGGTAGGGAAAACAGATCCTAAGGGAGGAGATTGCATAGCCTCCCTACCAGGATTAGACCCCTAGGATACTCTTGGTTCCTTTAACCTTCTGCACATCATTCTCTCAACCTGTCTCTTGAGAACTCTGCCTCTGGCACGTTTCCAGGGAAGCTGGTGGCTGCCATGCCCTCGGGCAGTGCTGCCCTGGCCCGGGATGGGAGCTGAGGGTTGTCCCACACACAGCCCCGTTGTCTGGGCTGGCAGACAGGAGCTGTTTGTACCCGGGCTGACATACAAAGCATTTGTTTTCCAGTGGCAGCAGGATAAGGGTGACTCATTCCGGGCCTACCAAGTGTGCATTTAAGTGCAGTGGACACTGGCAATCAGGGAGAGACTTCCAATGTGATTTTTTGGTCTTTCCTCATCTGTGGCAGTGTGTTTAGTGCACTTTAAGGACAGACCCCAAGGTTTTGTGCATGGGAAGGCTCCATAAAGTTCCCCTGTGCTGCTCTGGAGCCACTGGTGCTGCTAGCTAGAAGATCCTTACACTGCAGGATTTTAATTAGTTAGTTGATCACCCGAGTAAATCATAATGTGATGCAGGCTGGCAAGATCATCTAATTGCAGCCTTCAATCCCTGTGTTTACTTCAGGAATGGGGGAAGATCTCAGGCTGTGGCATAAGACAGGCTCAGAACAAGGCAGACTGATTGTAGGTTTGCAGCCTCTCTCAAAAGCAGTCAGCAGACACCATGAAAATATCTGTCTCTCTGTGCAAGACCTCCCCTTTTTCTCAGTAAAATTGTGTGCAGAGGTAGTGTGCATCTAGGCTTTAATGCAGCAGCAGATCTTCTAAGGGCTGGAGTCTGCTCTTGAGCTCTTTCAAATCAAAAAGCAGTCAAGAACAGGCTACAAAAAGATGAAAATGAGACTCCTGGAGTTTCTGCCATGGAGCATCCCTCTCTTCTGTATGTTGGAGTGACACTTTTGTGGGACAGGACTCAGGTGAGGGAAACGTGTGCCATTGGTTTGCCCATTTTAATGTGCCCTCCCTAGTGCATGCAGTTCCCTTAAAAATAGATGCAGCTTGAAACTCAAAGTCCCAAGTGGGGCAAATAAATGTAACAGGTGTCTCTCTCTGCCTGGGCCTGATTCTGGGCCAGGGGCTGGAGTATCCATCCCTGTGGGTTGTAGACTGGAGTCCTCCCCTTTTTAGGAGGTATGCATGCCATACTATAGGGGGAAAAGTGCATGTTCACCATGGATTCTGTTTGAATGAGAGGTTCTTTGTAATGTCTATCATGTCCAGGAGAGGTTTCCAAGGCTAGAGGGTCGAGTCTCTGCTCTGCAATGTCAGATATTGATGGGGAAGAGTGTGACTGATAAAGTATCTGGTCTGCCTGACTAACCTGACTCTATTAGCCACGTGTGTCAGTAACCTTGCCCACTCCTTAGAGCTCTCCCTAGAACAAAAACAGAGACACATTTTTATGATGATTCGGACTTGGTTGTCTGCTTGTTTGTAATGCCAGAGTGAACACAGTCCTGGTCTGATTTTGCATTTCTCCGGGCTTTTTTTTTTTTTGTCAGGTTCTCCTTTGCTCTACTGCTGGGAGCAGCATGGGCTCATATCAGCTTCGTTTTTGGTTCCTCCCTGGCTGCTGTGTTTATCCCTTGCCGTGCAGAGGATGTTCCCAGTAGTCCAGGGGTGTTTGCAGCACTCAGCAGCAGCAGAACAAGTAAACCTGGTTCATCCTGGAGCTGCCTCAAGGGCTGTACAGAAAATTGAGGACCTGGAAAACTGTGTCAGTCTCTGTGGGCAATACTCAAGAGTATCAGATCAAGCACCTGAAAAGACAGCGTTCTTCCTGTTGCAATCTGCATTGCAGAAGCTAAAACCTGAATTAAGGTAGTAAAACTTCACTGATGAGATGGGCTTGGCACTGCAAGCCAGGCCCTTAGCAAACCTATGTGAGCTAGACACAGTGCCACTTGCCAGAGCCTCCTGTCCATCCCACTGCAGGCCCTGCTGCTTCCTGGCCTGCCTTTCCCAGCAAAGTCTCTGTTCCACAGCCACTGGTGGCATCCTCCAACTCCAGAAGGCTTTTCCTGATTCAGCAGGGAGGGCTCCAGCACTGCTCTGTGCTGGTGCTGGGCAGGAGGTGTTTGGAATGAGAGATTCAGCTTGGGAAAAGCATGAGGGGAGTGATCCTGGTGGCACAGCTTGGCACCACCGAGTCCCGAGGCTCTTGCTGCACGAGCAGATGAGTCAGGGGAGCAGCAGACACAGCCAGAAGTAGCTGAGGGGTGTGAGTGGCTGCACTGCTAATTTTGGTACAGCTGAAGTTACGAGGCTTATGTTTATGTGTGTGTGATTATAAAATGTGCCTATATCACAGTTACCACATACAGGTGTGTGTGAGTGGGTTAAAATCCATGAGGGCTGTGGTTATTTAGCTGGGGAGTGTCAAAAATATGAGGTTCAGGCCCAAATTTCAGAGGGAAAACCATTTTTGCTGCTAATCTCGTAACAGTTAAAAGTAATAATTGCCTCAGAAGATATATAAGTGCTATTGCAGGCAAATGTCTCATTTCCTGGGATGTCACTGTCCCAAATCTGGAAGTCAAGCAGTGTTCTAACCCAAGAGCAAAAGCTGCTCTTCAGAAAGCACCAGCTTTACTCCCAGCCCTTTCCAAGGTCACCAATGGACCCAGTAATTACAGCGTAGCTCTGCCCTACAATGAACTGCTTTCCTGCCAGCAATTAATTTGCCTCTGTGGGAAGAAGAAATTGAGGCTGGAGACAGTGAAATGTGATCACCACCCAGTTAGAAACCTTTCAGAAATGTCTCAACTCTCAGCTGAAATGAGGATTTTATAATTAGGTTATATTATTATTATTGTTATTATCTATATTATTATGTTGTTTTATTAATTAAGCACAGAGTACTAGATACCCACAGTGTGTGTGAGTTCTCTGGTGACAAGGACATGTGTGAGCTGTGCAGGGAAAACAGAAGGGCAAAGCCTCTGGAAAGCTTTTCCTTGCGTGTTACTGGTGCACTTGGGCGTTTCCCAAGATCTGCTCCTCCAGGGCTGGGAGCATGCCCTGCATGTGAGGCTTGTGCTGCTGTCCTTGGCCCTTGCTGTGGAACTGCAGCCAGCACAGGCCCTTTGTCAGCAAACTGGGAGTGGGAAGGACCTGCGTGTTCCCTGGAATGTGTTTTATGTCGTGTAGGTGAGCTGGGCAGCCAGGTACCACAGATCCATACAGGGAAGCAGACTGCAAACATCATACAGCAGCAGGAGATGAGTGGACAAGCCTACCCAAATTGAAGATGAGACAGAAACTGGTAGATGTTTATCAGGTAAAGCACTTTTCTAGTTAGAGCTGCATTTTCAGCGTTGAGGTGAAATTACACTGGGTCCTGGGGAGGCTGTTTGGTGTCTCGGTGTGCCCTGAGGTCACAGCAAGGCCCGGGTGCAGTCAGACAGGGTGTGAACAGGTCTGTCAGCAGTGGCAGGTGATTAAGTAAGGGCAAGCAGGATTCCTAGATTCCTATCTCAGGTGTCAAAGTCCAGAGATCAGTGAAATGCCAGGGATGCACACAAAGAGAAAAGGAGCAGTACTCCGCCCTCCTGTGTGCTGTTCCAGCCCCGTTGTGGGCAGCATCAAAGATCCTCTGGAGAAATGTCTGACAGTTACTAAATCACAGGAGGAAGATTAAGGATTTCTGAGATCTGTTCTGATTTGGCTGATACTGTGCTGTGTGATTTCCTAATTCCTTCCCTTACAAGCTTTTCCTGCTTTGCATAGACTCCAAGGAGCTGAGCACCTGGTGTTGCACAAACTGAAGGAGCCACATCACAACCTCAGCAAATCTGGCTTTTTATGTTTATTAAAGATATTCCCAGTGCACAGGACAGGACAATTTCACCGTGTTCATGCTCTCCAGAGTGTGGGCCTTGTCTGCCTCTTCTCTCAGTAACATCACCATGATGCTGCAAAGGGAAGATGTGCCCCTGCTTGTTTCAGGGATCCGTAATTAGGACACAAGATTGTGCCCTGAGCCAGCAGTGCACCTACTGCATTCCCAGGCTGCACTCCAGAGGTGGAGCCACTCCTCACTGGAGTGTTTGCAGTGTATCATGGCTTCTTCTGAGGCTTCCAAAAGTGAAATGACTTGCCAAAATAAAAGAAAATAATTCACTCTGAGGATCTAGAAAATCCGTGTGGAGAAACAATGTGCTTCTATGCATCACATAAGTAGATTTTTATGGAAAAATCCAAAAAGCTGAATTAATCAAACCCAAAATTCTGTAGGAATCTCTACTTGATCTATAAATATCTGTGCAAGGTTCAGCTACAGTATTTTACAGTGGGAAGGAAGGTTTATGGTTTCAGAGAAAGAATTCCCACGGAAGAGTCTTTCTAAGGGGAAAGTTTTATTGCTGTAGTTAAGTTAGCCTTCAAAACCAGAGTCTAATTATGTATTCTGGTTCTTGGTTTTTGGAGAAATGATGGTGAAACAGGGCTGAGAACACCACTCTGGAATGAGAATTGAAATGAAAGAAAGCTACCAGATCAACCGTTTTTCCTTTTTTTTTTTTTTTCTCCCTTTTTCAACTGCATGGGTGGAACCACAAAAATCCTGTTTTTCCAAACAGCTGTGACATGTGACCTCAGAACCTTTCATAAGCAAAAATATCCAAAAGGGCACATACTAACATAACATTGTTGCTGTAATCACAATTACAGGAAGAAGTATTTCTAAGAGAAGATGCTGCAGTCCATCCTAGCAGGAAAACCACCTGATGGGCCGCTTGCCTTCTTGCTCAGGAAGGTATTACTTGGATCAGGCTGCAGCTGGCCAGCTGCCAGCCTCGTGGTTTGGAGAGGGAGCTGACTCGTGGCTCGGGAAACACTGGTGCTGCTGATGGGACGTGGGATGGTAGCGCTGCGTCGCAGGGCTTGCCTGCCTTTTAGTGCCGCAGGAAGGCCGTGGGGCAAAGGGGGTGGCATGACATCAATCGCTGGAAAGCCCCTGTTGCAGGTGTCTCTCCCTCCTGCTGGCAGTGATGGGTGGGGAAGTGGAGCAGAACATCCCACTGGCTTTTGAAAAAGCAGCTACATTGATGTGATTTGTTTTTTTTCAAGAGCGGTTTAACTGTGTTAGTGGCAGCTGAACTGCACTTGCATTGTGGCAGAATCCGCTCCCTGCGATGCCTCATTCAGTCCAGAGGCGCTTCACTCTCCCTTCAAGCCTTCCCGCAGTAATCTCGGTGTGCAATCCCTCCGCTTGTTTCCCAGAACGCCGCGCCGAGCGAGTCGCCCCAGCAGCGCCATCCCCAGCGGGCACGATGCTTCCGGCTATGCCAGGCATCCTTGCGGGCAGGAACCACCCCCGTTCCTTTGGAATACGTTGTCCCGACCCCGGTGAGGCAGGAAAGCATCCCCGGGGGAGCGGCGGCTCCTCCCTCCCGGCGCTGCGGGCGGGGCCCGCGCCGCGCCCGCCCCCGGAGCCCGGCGGAGCCCCGGCGGTGCCTGCTCGGCAGCGGCGGCAGCAGCAGCCATGAAGTCGCTGTGTCTGGTCACCGTGGGGGTCCTGGCCATGACGCTGCTCATCGCCAGCATCTCCCTGCTGGTCGCGCACGTCTTCCAGACGGTGGTGGATCTGCAGGTGAAGCAGGTAAAAGCATTGCCGCGTTGCCGGCTCGGTCCTTGTTTGCCGGTTTGTTCTGTCTGAAAATAGCCGAGGGAGGGAGGGAGGGAGGGAAGAGGCTGGCTCCCTCCTTGCAGCAGCGGTGGGTGGGTGGGTGGGTGGGTGGGCAGGAGCATCCCTGGGCCGTGAACCTCCCCCCCCCGCCCAGCACCACCCGGTTGAGCTGGGGCTCAGAATGGAGCTCAGCCTACACTGGTCCCTGGGTTGGGTAAAAATCGGGAAGAGGATGGGTAAAAATGCCTCTTCTTGAGGGAGCTTTGCTGGCTCTGGGGCAGCAGTTTTATGGAGGATCCCTCTCCAGAGCAGCAGCACCTGAGGGGAGCAGGGGCCACCTAAAGCACCCCTTCTTTTTGCCATCTCTGTCATAAATTGCATGCAGCTTTCTTACTTGGTCTGCTGCTCCATTTACTGGTGTCTCTGGAGCAGGGCCAGAGGTGCTCTGGGCTGGAACACACGCTGTGTGCCGGTTCCCCAGGCTGGGTGATGGCAGCCAGGCATTTCACCATGTTGTTCCACACTTGGGGACACTCATCCTGTCGTTGCTGTGGATGCAGAGGCCTGCACTGCTCCTGCCCTGCCTAAGCTTTTGTTTCTCTCCCAGAGTGGCTCTGTGCATTTCTGCAGTGGCCCAGTGAGAAAGGTCAGCTCTGTTAGTAACTCTCTTGTTTGTAAACGAACAATTATTTATCTCTCTGTCTGAGGAATATCATCTTAGTCCTTATCCTGACAGAGAAGCCAGGAACGCTAACCGATGAAGGGATTTGACCAGTGCTGTTGTCTAAGTGGTGACCAGATTATCTGTGATCTCCTAACCTACTGTTCTTTCCTCTGGGCTGTTGACAGGGAGCATTTCCTGCCGTGGGACCTGCGCTGTCCCAGATCGGTTTGGTTTAGCGAGCACAGTTTTAGGTTGGCAGTGAGCTTACTCCAGGCTCTGTCACTTGGAAGTGCAGCTCCATCCCCTTGATCTTGGCTGTCCTTGGGAAGGAGTCTGCCCTCCCCTGCGTCCCAGAAGTTCTACTTCCAGGTGTTCTTCTGCTGTTACGGCCAGAGCAGTGGGGTGGAAGCAGTGCTTTGGAGCAGGACTGTCGGGAATTAGGCGTGATCCTCCTTACGCGCATTATCTCCCGGCCTGCTCCTTCCCAGGAGCAACTTATGTAAGAGCAACTTGGTGTTCGTTCAGCAGGCCTTGCAGTAATGCAGGATAAAGTTTCCAGAGCTCAGGCTTTTCCTGCCTGCTGCTCTCCAGCTCGTGCTGGCACACATCTGGATTGCAGGGAATGAGGTGTCCGGCTCCCTGCCAGCTCTGAGGGCCTTCTGCAGGAGCCACACCCCCCAGGCTGGGGAAGCACAGCTTTCAGCCCCAGAGCAGGGTGCTCCCAGCCACTCTGCTGATCTGGCTGATTTCCACATCTGCTTTATCCCACGTGAGCTTCCCCTCATTTGTGTGTAGTCTGGAAAGCTGCTGTCTCTTGTGTAACCGCGTGTGTAGCTTAGAAAATCTTGTGCAAATAGACAAATCTCAGTTTGGATTTGCCTTTGGAATGGGGCAAGACCTGAGCTTTTGCAAGGAGTCGCTGTTCCTTTGAAGGCTTTCCAGGCGTCCTGGAGCAGAGCTGCCTCGCAGTGAGGGGCTGTCTTTGCAGTCTCAAGTGCAGCTGGAGTGGAAAGCCGTGTTTTGGAATAGCTGAAGCAGCTGTGTCTCCAAAGCCAGCACCTGTGAGTGGCTGAGGATGGCTCTGCTTTCACAGGGGGCTGTGTGCAGCAGCCTTTCCAGCCAAAGGCAGGGTGTGGGAAGAGTGGGAATCCAACCTGCTGTCAGACTTCACATCCCCTTGGAAATCAGTGGGCAGATGTGTTGTGGCAAGAGCATTGGCAGCGCTTTTCCCAGAGGGCATTCAAATCTCATCAACTTATTCTTTATTTGCTTTTTTTTTTAATTTCTGTGAACTAAATGTGCCATCCCAAGCAGAATTCCAAAACCTGTTTGTTATCAGGGTCTAGCACCTGATACTCTGGAGCTTAGTGGGAAAACATCTAGAATGAACAGGTATGAATCTTCTCCAGGAGAAAGGCATTCCCAGCTGCCAGTGTTGTTGCTTTGTGCCCTCTCATGAGGAGATGCTGGTGTATTTATTGCCATAGGTGTCCAGGTTGTGAATACAACCTAATATTTTATATATACATGCATATACACACACAATCAATCTTGGAGCTATGCTCCTCATTTCAAACTTGGAAATCAGTCAGTCCTTTGGCCCGGGTGTTTCCTTCATGCCACATCCCTTAGGCTGAGAATTTTAGAAAACACTTACTCTTCAAACTCCTTGAAATTCCACTGGACTTGTCGCCAGCCATCTCTTGAGCTGAATTGGCTGGAATGTTTCAGGCCCAAAAGGACGAGGAAGATGTTTTCTCCTTTGATTTAGCTGATGTATTGATCATTTTTTGCTGTTGTTGTTTAATGCAAAATACTGGAGCTCTCGGGAGGGTTTAGTATGAAAGCCTAGCTGAAGGATCCATTGAGATGCTCCTTTGGGGCAGGGCATTCCCAGTTTCCAGGAGTAGGGAGGTCTGTTCATGCTGGTCTGAACACTTAGCCCATCACCTTAACAAGTTGCATTTAAACTGTGTCATAGATGAACACATGAAAGTGCATCTTTGAATTAAAACTTTTAGGGGTTCCAGGAAATAAAATTAAAAAGGAATTAAATTTTCTGTGGAGCTTTCAGAAATATTCAGTACCACCACCACTCCCACCATCACTGCCAATAGCTGTTACAGTTGGGAGGGAAAGCTCCCTATTTATTTCCTGTGTGTGAAGCACAGTCAAGGCGAGGAAACGGCAGCAAATGAGAGCGCTGCAGATTCAAGGCTGGCTGATAATTACAGTCAGCAGGAAGGATGTTTTGGAACACTGGAAATGAGCGTGGACTCCGCTTGGAAAGGAGAAGCCCTGATGTCCTTGTAATATCCTGTGGTAGATGAAAATATCCCTGGTAAGATGGGGTGAAAAGCAGAAGATAAGAGCTTATCATGTTTGATTATTTGGCAGTTTTTGGGAGTCTCTCTGAATCTAGCTCAGAAGTTTGTTAATCTGGGTTTGCTGTCACTGTACAGAGCTATAAATAGACAATTTCTGTGGGAGGTGCAAATTGTGTCATGCAATTCCAGAAATAAATCTGCAATTAATATGTCCAGTGAATACAGAGATGAGTCTCCTTGGCATCAATCATAAGAGAAACAGGATCAAAAGCATCAGGTTGTGTAGGAAATCATATATATGAGGTGCTGGTAGTTCCAGAGGAGTGCTCCAAGCTCCTCAAGCGTGTCTGAAACACATTAATTTTTGAGGTGTGCACAGAATAAATGGGTTTTGATCCTATGGGGAAAGCAGGCTGTAAGTGCAAAGTGCCACCAGCTGGGCTGGCTCACACTGCCATTCAGCATTATTGCTGCTGTGCCAAGCTCCTGCCCCTGAGTTTGTCTTTGAAACAGTCTTCTTTTTATGTCATCCTCCAAAATTAAAGTCTACATGAAGAGAAAATGGCTCCTTAAGTGGGAAGGCCAAGAATGAGTCCTGAGGCAAGTGTGGCTGATAAGACCCTGTGAACACTGACCACGAGCTGGCAGCTGTCCAGTATGCCCTGCTTCTGAGCTTCCACTCACAATATTCCACTTGTTTTCTCAGAAGAATAAGAAGAATGAGTGTTGATGAGAGCCATTTAATTGCAAATCGTTCCCCTCCTCCTTTTCTTCCGCCTACAGGTGATGTGGTTTTCAAAGATAGAGTTTTCTTTGTGTTTATTCCTGAACATTCACTCTTTGTGCCAGATTTCTCTGTGTGGCCACTGAAGCAGTTCCAGAGTTGTGGCTACATGAAAAGCCTTGATTTTGATGATGGGGATGCTTTATAGATGGGGTGAATTTTATCCAAAATGGGTTGGTAATAAAGTGAGACCTCTATTGCAGAGCTCTACATGACAGGTGGGGTTGTGACTTTCCATATAACATGTATAGACTGATAAGGGGTATCACTGAGGTAAGGGAATTAGTGTTACATTCCTAAGTGCTTCTGTTATAAAATATTGGTTACCAAATAGACTGACACACCATGGGTCTGGAGTTGCTGATGCTGACTTTGCTGTAGGAAAGAAATTAAAGGTAGAGGACAAACAATCTTTCCCCTATTCCAAGACCTTGGAAAGGCACAAATTCTAGAGTGCCTGTGTGAAAGAAGTTTGTCATTCTCAGTTTTGCTCACAGGCCACTGAAAAACAAAGTCTAATTGCTTGGAAGACAGAATCTCACAGCTGTGTTGGCATCTGACATTCTTGGGCAAAGAAATCACTGAGGCCAGGACTCTTTTGGCCTCCCAACATTGAGTTGTAGTTTTATCTGTAATGTTGCCATGTTCTGTGGTGTCTTGCACCACATGGAGGGTTTTACTGATGCAGGGAAGGAGACAGGATTGCTGAGTAATAGCAGATCAGTCTCCCTTGTGAAAAATGTCAGGCACAATTGTCTGTGGGGAGACAGGGAACTACAAACCAAGCAGGGCTGTCCCTGGCCTGTGGCCAGGAGAGCAGGTGCCTGGGCTGGCTGATATTGAGTGAGCTGCTCCAAAGTGAAGCAAACCTAGAACTGGGGTCTCTCTGGAGTCTAACTCCCTGTGCTCATTCCCAGGGCATGGAATTCCTCTCTCTCCTGTCAGTACCATGAAGCATGATAGCATTAGCAGCTCATGTGCCTTTCTCTTGTTTCAGGGAACAGTCTTGAAGAATGGCACAGAAACCTTTGAGGCCTGGGAGGACCCTCCTCCCCCAGTCTACATGCAGTTCTACTTCTTCAATGTGACAAATCCTTTGGAAGTGCTCCAAGGCGCCACTCCTCTCGTGGAGGAAATAGGACCATACACCTACAGGTAGGACCTTTCAGGAGTTTCACAAGAACTCTGCTGTGTGAGGAATCCAGGAGGCTTGGGATCCTGCTCTGGGAGAAAACCTAGGTGTTAATGTGTGAGGGAAGGTTTGTCCAGGGGAGCATGGTCACAGCCCACACGGACAGCACTGACACTCGCAGCTGCTTTCAGATGAGGCCAGTGACTTCTGTCAGATTTTGGGCTAAGTTTTGTTGGTGTGGTGCTCTTCTTCACTGCTGAACACAGAGGAAGCTGATGCATCCTGGCCTGCTGTCTTGTGAGCTGGGTGATGTTTTGGAGGCTGGGGAGAGAGGAGTGTTGCACAAAAGTGTGACTCATGCTCACTCAGGAATTGGTTCCTAGCTGGAGCTGCACCATTCACATGGGTAAAATGTGACCAGAAAAACATTTAAGGGTGGTACTAAAAGGGTTTTCCTGAACCAACTCTCACTGAAAAACCTGCTTAGAGTTCAAACGTATCTCTCATTTTTACTGATGGATTTACTAAGGCCACGTGCAGTGTTAAATATTGTCCAGCTCCTAGAGCTGTCCTGTGTGGCATAGAGAGATTTGAAAGTCCCCTTAGAGATGAGTTTTCCTTCAGAACTGTATTGTGCTCAGCTGCCTGCAGCTGTGAAAGCCAGGAGCAGGTCTGTGGCAGGAAGGGCTGTGGTTCTGGGAGTCCTGGTGTTATGGGGAATTCATCACCACAGCACGAAGATGGATTCCTGGCTGTCACCCTCGCTTCTGGTCACACGGGCTCCTCCAGGCCAGGCATGGGCTCAGTGCTAGAAGGAACTGTCTTTACCTAAGCTGCAAAATTATCAAAATCTCTTGGTGTTTGAAAAAGTGCTGGAATGAAAGCAGAAGCCTTTGTGGGAGCCTTGGTTTCTGCGTTATCTCTTGCCTTTCCTTTTCCTCCTTCCCTTCTCCCCCTGCCAGCAATCCCTTGCCCTGTTTCCTCTGCATTCTAGCCCCGTGTCTGTTTAGTCCTGGCAAACTCTATGTGGTACTTTGGCATAATCCCTGCTATTACATGAGCCAATAAAGCTGGAGAAAAGATGATGTACAAGCTCTGAAGTTCCCAAGCTTTCCTTCAGGTGTGTGTAGTGTAACACTGGGCATTAGTCAGCAATATGTTCAAGATTAACAGGACCAGCTCCAGGATTCACAAAGCTGCAGGGCACCACGCAGGCTGGCATTCAGTCCTCTTTGCCAGCTTCTTCTTTCCCCTTTCCTTAGCTCTGAGTCTCTCCTGGGTGTCTGGCACAGCCTGGTTTGGGAAGCTGCACCTTGTCCATGAAGGAGCTCTGCAGGGTGGATGGGGCTGGTGCTGTAGTGGCTGGGCTGGTCCTGCCCCAGGGGAGGCCCAGCCTGAGCTGCTGGTTTGCTGGGAGAGCCTTGCCCTGCATCTCATGCCAAGGGCTGGCTGCAGGCGGGTCCCCGACACCATCCCTCCCTGAGGTGTTCTTGGTGGGGACAGGGAGGGAAGGAAAGAGGCTGCACATTCCAGCTGCTTCTGGCAGGTTTGCTTAGCCTCATTCTGGCATGTCTGGACAGGATTCCCCTGTGCTCTGCTCTTCCTCCATAGAGGAAGAAGGAAAGTTAGGAAGTGGAGAGCTCTCTTGCAACAGATTTCATAACCCTGGCCTGGCTGTGGCTGCAGCAGGCTGTCAGCAGTGGGTGGGGAGGAGAGGAGGCGTGTGGGAGAGCAGGGAGGGATGTTCCAGCCACACTGCACGCTCCAGCCAGGGAAGAAAGCTCCAACTCGTTCCACAGGCCCTGTGTGGCAAAGCACTGAAGCTTCATTTGGCCTTAGCACGTGGCAGAACACCCAAATGCCCTAATGTGAGGCGCCTGGCTGCGTGTTTTTATAAAGCAGGGTGTCTGGGGAAAGGCTGGCAGTAGGCTGGGAGTGAACTGGGCCAGACAAGCAGGGAAAAAAATCCAGTCAGTGACAGGGAGGGCTCCAGAGGTCTCGTCCTGCAGCTCAGAGTTTTCACCAGCATACATCATCAAGCACTTGAGGCAGATTCTGTAACAAAAACATAGTAGTGCTGGTGTTTTTAAATCCTGGAAGTTGAACAGGCAGCACATAAAATAAGTAATTACAAAGTTCAAGTTGCTTATCTGCCAAGCCTGCTGAGTTCCAAAGAACACTGGAATATTGTCTGGTCTTGCACATGTTTACAGTATTTTAACTTCAACATCTTAGAGCCTCCTACTCATATACCTCATCAGGGGGTATTATTTTCCTCTCCAGAGCTGGAGAGATGTCTCAGGTTACTCCTGGCCTATTTTAGGAAGGCATTTCGCAGCTGTCTATCTCCATCCACTCAGTTCCAGCCCTGGGGTATAAAATAGATTGCTGTCCAAGAGGGTCTTGCCAAGCCAAGCTGGAAGTGTTGCCACACCAAAATGTTCCTGGGTTTCAGGGATGCTGGGGAGTGGTAGAGACACCTTTAGGGTAAGGAAGATGGGAAGTGGCTGGTTTGTAATAGCAGTAGTTTCACAGGCCTTTCCAGTTTGCTTTAGATGTGAAAGCGGAGCCAGAGTAATGCAGCCTGTTGTGGAGCTGCACTGATGGATCCACTGCAGCCAGATGGATCCAGTGCAGTCTGGCAGAACAATCTCGATCCAACCTGAATGCAGAACACCAGAGCACAACATCTGGCAGAACAATTCTCCCTCACATCTTGGGACTTGCCATTTGCCCGGGCAGATGTGAAAGTCAGCAGGCTCCTGAGTCACTGCAGGCTGAGGAAACAGGAGGAGTTTCACCTCCTGCATGTGCCAGGCGGCGAGCAGCTCACTGCCATTTCCCTTTTGGGGTTTGCTGGAGCCACCTGCTCTGTCAGCCTGCTCTGCACAGCTGCAGAATCCTGGTTGGTAAAGTGCTAATGGCAATGGAAATTTGCTTGTGCTCCTGATGTGTGTGTCAGGGTAATTAGGATCTGACTTTCGGTAGCATTTGATGTTCCTTGTCAACTGGACTGGTCTGTCAGCAATCCTGAGTTTTATCCTGCTGTCTGTGTGCTTAGACAGGAACAGCAGCAACCTCCCAGGCCTTGGGTAGTGAACAGCAAAAATTCAGTTGAATTTCTGTCATGCCCAGGATTTCTGCTCAAGAATTAAAGAAGAACTAAAATGAGGCTTGTTCTGTGGCCATGTCACATGTGAGCCCTAGTGCCACGTGCTCTGAAGCCAGCAGAAGGATTCTGGTGGGTTCTTAGGTCAGGTCCATGACACACAAGCAGCCTGCATCTTTCTGGGAGTGGATTTTGCGTGCAGCAGAGGCAAAAGTTTCATTTGCAAACTGGACTTCAAGGGCAATCTCATATATGGTGCCTCTAAATCCTCCTGAGCTGTCTGAAATTGTTGTCCTTCCTTTGAGGTTTTTAAAGATGAGGCAAAAATATGAAGTGCAGTTAACAGGCAGGGTGACATTTTTGGAAACACCCCGTGAGGTCTGACTTGGCTCACATAGATGCAGCAGGGAGTTTGTGTCAGTGAGGGAATCTACTTCCAAAAAACTAAAAGTGCCACCCTTTATGTGCTTAAAGCAGTAGAACAGTCATAAGTTAATTGTGATTAATGCTGTGTCTACTTGTTTAACTCAATTAGAGAATTAACTCTTGTCTTTCAGGGAATACAGGCCAAGAGTGCACGTCCAGTTTTTGGACAATGGAACCAAAGTGTCTGCTCTAAACCCAAAGACTTATGTATTTGAACCTGAGAAGTCAGTGGGAGACCCTGAAGTGGATCTGATCAGGACAGTAAATATCCCTGCAGTGGTGAGTTCTCTTTCTTTCTTGCTTGGAAGTCATCCTGACACACTTCAGAAGGAGCAGTATGTTGCTTCATCCTGACTCTCCCTTTGTGGTAGATGAATGTGATGGAAGAACAGGAGAGGCAGCTCGTGTCCTGAGCAGATGCTGGTTTCAGTTTGGGGCTGGACTGTTGTGGGGGGCTTATTTTGTTCCTCCCTCTCCTCAGGCCTCTGCAGTGCCTGTGCTTTCCTCTGGTGCTACGTGATCACACACTCTCCAGGGACAAGGGGAAATCAGGCTTGCTGGGCTTCCATGAGTCAGTGAAACCAGGGCATCAGTGATGTCAAATGCCTAGGAGGAACTCCAGCTTCTGTGTGAGGGAGTTGGGAATGCTTGGGGTTATTTTGTCATACTTGGAGAAGCTGCTTCCAAGTCTGCTTCTCAAACCAGAAACAAACTGCAGTAGAGCAGTTCCAGGCAGAGCTGAATGAAAAGAACCTCTCAGAGTATTAAAGTCAAAAATGCACCCCCAGACTGTGCTAGGTGAAAGAGAGACTCATGGTGATCACAGGCAGACCATTATTTTGGTTTTACACAGGGATAGCGTGAGAACAAGCAGATCCCAATTTGTGAGAGCTTCCAGAGGCATCCAGCCTGTACTCAGATACTTGGGGGTGTCATTCAGCCTTAACTCTCCATCCTGGTTTAGCTTCAGTTGCAGGGTACCTTCGTTTCAACTTTTCCCCCAGCATTTCCAAAAATGCCTGACTTTACAAGTGAGTCCAGAAATGCCCCGTATATAGTAGCAGATAGGACTCAGCTTACTGAAACTTGCAGACAATACCTGTGTTTTCAATACCTCCCAGGCATCTCATGGTGGTAAGGATTATCTCTCCTTCAGATTTTTGGCTGTGATGTACTGTAAAAGGCAGTACGAGAAGAACCACAGGTTGGTTAGCCCAAAGAAATGCCCTCCTTTTGTTATGACCTTTTGAAGACCTGTTGTCAGCTGGAAAGGAAATAAACATTGGAATTTTGGGGAAATGATTGTGCAATTTGGGAAATTTTCTTGTCAACTGGAAAGGAAATAAACATTGGAATTTTGGGGAAATGATTGTGCAGTGGTTGGAAAGCGTCTGTGCCTGCGTGCAGCTGATTGTTTATAGCCCAGCAAATCTGACCATTGCTCCCTCATTCCAATGCCCTGGCAGACTGCCATGGAGTGGACCAGGTCAACCCCTCTGCAGTTTGCCACGGAGGTGCTGCTGCTGCTGTACCAGGAGTCGCTGTTCACCGTGCGCAGCGTCCACCAGCTGCTCTGGGGCTACAAGGACAGGCTGCTGTCCACCATCCACGTCCTGCACCCCGAGATCGACCCCGTCTTCGGGCTCTTCAGCAAGGTAACTGATGGCCACGCCTGCTGCTGCTGTCCCTGGGGGATGATGGCTGGATGGGAGGGATGGATAAGCTTTCTAAGGACAACAACCTCCACTATTGCCTGTACTTGCTTGAATAACGTGGGCTTCGTGGAGCCACATGTGCAAACTGCCAGAAAAATGTCCTGATTTCCTTAGTAATTGAGTGAAATTGGATGTTAATTCTGTGCTGGAGCCATTCCTGGCATGTATATCATTTTGGTCTTTCTTGCTGTTTGGACATGTCTGCAGTGCTGAGGTTATTTCTGTGGGGTTGTTTTCTTCCTGAGGGCTCTTTATTCTGGGGCAGTTCTCAAAGGGAGAAAAGGCTCATCTGGTGTTGTGTTTTCTGCCTTTGGGGAGGGGTAAGGATCTTGCCCAGTCACTTCCACCTCATTCCTGTTCAGGATGGAGTTCAACGATTTGCACAAATCTCAGGGGCAATCCATCACTCCTGGGGTGGGTTTAGAGTGGTGACAGCTTCAGCTCCTGCCACCCCATTGCAGTGACCAGCCAGGTGGCACAGGATGAGTGGAGCCACTGAAAGCTCCTGCATCTGTTTGCAGATGAACGGAACTGATGATGGAGAATATGTTTTCCTGAGTGGAGAGACGAACTACCTGAACTTCTCCAGGATTGTGGAGTGGAAAGGAAAAGAGTAAGTTTCTCAGTGTACTGTTGCCTCTGTCACAATCTGCCCCTTGCTTGCCTTGTGCCAGTTTGAAGAGAATGCAAGTGCAACTTAAACCCATTTCAATCCCTTTTCTTGTTAGCAGAGCTGAGGCGGAGGAATTGGCTCTGTACAGGTCTGATTCCTGTTTGCCTAGGCCAGGAGCTGGCATTACCTGACTCCTGCTCAGACATCTTTTAGCCCTTGCTCTCTTTGCTTCCCTTTCTTCAGGTCCTTGAGCTGGTGGACAACAGAGGCATGTAACATGATCAATGGCACGGATGGGACATCCTTTCACCCGCTGATCAGCAAAGATGAGAACATTTACATTTTTTCTTCTGATTTTTGCAGGTAAGGAAAAGACAGTGGCACTCAGGCTTCAAAGCAGAGCATTTGCATCCATTCCTCTCGAGGTGTTATGTTAGGCTGGTGGTCCTCCTCCTGTGATTTCATTTAACAGTCACAGTGGTCTGCATTTATTCATGGTGGGAAGGATGAGAGTTACAAAAAACCCTCCCAATCTGCAGTTAAGGATGCGTTATTTGAAAATGAAGATTTGTGAGGTGAAAATTTGGACAAAAACTACAAGGATGGACTGGACTGCAAGGCTAGGAACGAGGGGAATGGAAAGATTTAGATGAGCTTTCCTTAAGCTTCTTTCCTCCAAAGTCTTAGCCTGTGCTGTGCTTTTTCAGAGAGCCTAGGCTGCCCTCTTCAGAGGTTCATGACTTTACCATGATGCTGTCTGAAATGTACCAAGGAAATCTTTGTCTTTCCTTCCTTATGTAACACCATGTCTGCCCTCTTGCTGACTTCCCAGTGCGTGAAGAACAAAACTGACCTGGAATTATTTAAATCAATATAGATGTGTGTTAGGCTAAATTCAGCACAGATTATTCTGTCTTCCATGACTGTGTTCCTTTCCTGGTCCCTTCCAGCAGAGGTGCCAGCACTCACACCACGTGCAGCAGTGCCGTGGGCTGTTTTGTGCAGCAGCAGGATGATGAGATGTGCGTTTGCTGGTCAGACAGCGGTGGGGATGCAAACTGGGCATCAGCAGGGGGACACGTGCAGCTGGGTCAGTGCTGCTGCAGCCTGCCATACCTGGCTCTGCTCTGCTTCCCTGCAGGTCCCTGTTCCTGGTGTATGACAGCTCGGGAGACGTGGCCGGGGTGCCCACGTTCCGCTTCGTGCCCTCCTCCATGGTGTTTGCCAACACCTCGGTGAACCCGGCCAACGCCGGCTTCTGCGTGCCCGCCGGCAACTGCCCCGGCACCGGCGTGCTCAACGTCAGCGTCTGCAAGCAGGGTACGGCCCAGCTGTGTCTGCCCCACAGCCCCTGGGGCTTTGCAGCTCCTCAAGGGCCCCTTCCCCTCTCTGTAAACAGCTGTGAGGTCCTCCAAGGCTTCCCTGAGTCCTGCTTGGCCTTTTGTTTTGGTGGTGACTCGGTGTTTTCGCGTTCCAGGTGCTCCAATATTTCTGTCAGCTCCACATTTTTACCAGGCAGATCCGAAGTTTGTAGAGGACATAGAGGGCATGCATCCCAGAAAAGAATACCATGAGACATTTCTGGACATCAATCCCGTAAGTGCAGTCTTTTTTCAAGGGTTTTGTAGGTGAATGGATCCAAGCACCTGAGTTTAGGTCACCTCCTTGTGTAGTGGGTGTTGGTGTAGTCCCGTTGACCTCAGGGAATCTGGGATAGCTCTATGGTGCTGGATGGAATGTGAGATCCCTTTGGGCACTTTGGGTCAGCTGTCCTGTCCCTGTCCCCTCCCACTGACTGGCAGGGCAGTGTGAGAAACAGAAAAGGCCTGGAGGTGTGCAAGCACTGCTCAGCAATCACTGGAACATCCCCTGCGTTACACACGCTGTTTTCATCACAGCTCTAAAACGCAGCCTGATGGCAGCTGCTGTGCAGAAAATGAGTGCTCTCCCATCCAAAACCAGTACAGCAGTGATCTCTACACCCCCACAGACAAATGTGGGTCGAGGCAAAGAGCACAGTTATGACCTGCCTGGTTTACAGAAACAGCACTCTGACTCATTGGGCTGTTATGTGCTGCTAAAGCAGGAGGAAATTCCACAGCTCCTCTCCTAAGGTCCGGTGCAGATCCTGCTGTGTGCTGTGTACCAGGTTCTTCCTGCATTCTCACAGTTCTCATTCTTTCACCTTCACTGTTTTTTTTTAACATTGATCTCTTTTATTCCCCAGCTGACAGGGCTCGTCTTGCGGGCAGCCAAGCGGATGCAGGTCAACGTTCATGTCCGAAAATTACCTGAATTTTTGTGAGTGTTCTCTGCTGCTGGGTGGAGTCTGGGTATCTAAGCTGATATTCAGCATGATTTTTTCTGCAGCGTTCTGATGGAATATGGAATGGAGAGAGCAAGTGTGAGAGAGAAGTCCAACAGAATCTCAGTTCTAAGGGGCAGTATGCTCCCCTCTCACAGATGAAGCAGATTCTGCAGTTCCACCTGCAGAGTAAAGAATGTTGTGTGGTAGCTAATCCTCCTGATGTTTACTGGTACAGCTTGGCTGTAATAACTACAACGCAAGTATTTTATCTGCCCAGTCCCCTTGGGAGACTCAGTGGTTGTTTCCCAGTGCCCAGGAGCTGTTGCAGGACACAACTCCTGCCTGAGCTGGGATTCCACATGTGCCAACTGTTGGGGGATTTTTGCTGCTGTGCCCTTGTCACTTGGACAATAGTTCCTGTGTTTTATAAGTAGGAGTAACCTTCAACATCAGCTTAGCTCAATTCCTGCTGCCTGGCACAAATCTGTCTCTCAGTTACTAATGAGCCCTGGATGGATCCCTGTCTTTCACTGCCCACCAAGTCCCAAAATATGCCCTGCTCCCAAACCAGAATTTATTCATCCCTGAGATCAAGATTGTCCTAGTCCAGCAGGGAGGTGAAAATCCACAGCAAAAAGGAACAGCCCAGGGTTTTTTTTTAGGGACACTTTCCTCCTTCATTGTTCTTGTATAATCTGTCTTCACAACCCTCAGGTGGAAAGGTCCCAAACCCATAATTTTTTTTTTCTTCCATGCAGTGAAACCGGCAACATCCGAACGCTGATTTTTCCAGTGATGTATATAAATGAGGTAAATAGTTCTGTGTCTTTCCAGCATTGTGGCATGTTAACTCTTGCAGAAATACCCTCTGAGCCAGCCAGAAAAGAAAATGCTGTTTTTTTGGTGTTTGTACAGCAATAGCTAGGAAGATGTTGCTGTTTCTTAACTGCCACCCTCCTGCTGTTTATTGTAGTGCTAATTTCAGCCTTGCCAAACACTCTCAGACACTCCTTTTAAACTCAAAGGAGTTGGCCGTGAGGAAAAGGGGTGCTCAGACAGAGGCAGGACTTCAGGAGATCACACCTTTTTCTGACTCATCTGCTGTGAATATTCCTGTGCTGTGGTCGGATCTCCGAATCAATTTGTGTTAGTTCCATTCCTAAACCAAAAATTAAAAGTCCATATTTTCCTTTGAAATGCCGACTAGGTGATCCCTCTGCTCCCCTGGAAGAATTTTGAAGGGGGAAGTATGTCAAGAAGCAGTGAAGCAGTGCTGGAGAGTTGTGGGAGTGTTGTTTCCCTGCCCTTCACAAAAGTGATCTTATAGGAAGCACATAAATAAATAAACTTTTTTTTTTTTTTAATTTCCTCTTCATCTCTCTCTGCTCCAGAGTGTTCTGATAGATGAAGCATCTGCCAGCAGACTCAGGCACGTCCTGCTGGAAGCCAGTGTTGTGACTGGGATCCCCTTTGTAATCATGGCTCTGGGGATTGTGTTTGGGATTGTTTTCATTGTGCTGGTGTGCAGGTCCCAGAGGATAACTGAAGAGGTAAGCAGCGCTTGGATTTCACTTTGCTTGCTGTCCATCTGCCAGCATTTGATTTTTTGTTTTTGTTTTTTTTGTGGTTGATTTTACCTCTTGCTGTGTCTTTCTGCACGTGTTTTTATGTTGTTTTTGTTGGGAATGACCTTTCTAGGGAGGGGAAGTTTTAATAGACTCAGAATAAACGCACCAAAGCAAAGGAGTGGAGTTAATCCGAGAAGCCTGGTAAGGCAGGTCTTGTCTCTGTGCCCAATTCCTTTGCCAACAGTAGTGAAATAAATCAGCCTGTCTAGAGGACCCTGAAGGATAAGATGCAAAAACTCCACCATATCTGAGGACAGATTTAGTTGGTGTCAGTGTTCTCAGCAGAAGAACTGCATTGTGCCAGTGGGTTATTTTCCAGAATCATAATGTGAATTTGTGGCCAAAGAACAGATGAATTGCACAGACAGCAGCAACAGGAAGTATTCTCCACTATTGTCTATTTACAATTCTATTGGAAATGTCTATTACAGTCTGTAAATCTGTTTATGAGCAGTTCTGTCCCAAGATGACATGCTGGCATTAAGGTGCCTGTCAGGGCGAAAGCTGATGCCAGCATTCCACCATAACAGGGTTCAGGTGGCACCAAGTGTGGAGCCTTTGATTAGAGGAATAGCCTGGGTTCTCTAGGAGGCTGTTTTGTCCTTGTAGTTGCTGTGGGCTTACTGTCTTTGGTGTTCCCTAAATGCTGTCCTACAACTAGCTTTCCTCTGTGCCTGGGGAGCCCCTCTGGATCAGTGGGATCCACTGCCATCCCATCCCCATGGAGCTGCACTTCAGTTTCCTGTGCAGGAGAGGCTGGTTCCTTTTCCTTTTTTTCCTTTTCCCTTTCCTTTTCCCTTTCCCTTTCCTTCTGAGCCTGCCTGTGCTGTCAGCAGTTTAGCCAGGGTGTCAATCTGTCCCACTGCCCAAGGCCTGTCCTGGGAATTCCTGCCCCACCCTACATGCACAGCTTCTAACCAGCTCTCTTGTGGTCAAAGTGACAAAGGGACACCTGCATTCCATGCTTTTCCTGCTTTGCTTTTTGTTGCTCTTCCTGCAAACAGAGGTAATCCAGCAGTCTGCAGCTCTTCTTGTGATCCCTGGCCTTCCCTCCTTTGTCAGGGGCTGCCCAGGTCCCTGCCCTGGCTGCCACCAACCCTCTGGTGCCTCCTTAGTCAGCCCTGGCTCTCTTGGAGGGAATTGTCCTTAGAAGGAGGAGCTTTTCCTTTCCCTGCTTGGAGTCTGGGCAGCCCAGCTTCCATGGTGGAAGGTCTCTCATGGTCACGTTTCACTTGCTGTGGTTTTGTTCTTGCAGAGCACAGAAGAAGAGAGGTCCCCACTCATCAGGACATCTTAGTAGATTTTATTCCCCCTGTGAGCTTGGAGAATAAATGATTAGAGCTGACTTAACACCAAGTGTCCCCTCTGGAGCCACGCTCGTGTCCAGCGTCACCTTTGGTGGGACAGAGGTGGAAGGTAATCTGCGCTGTCAGCCATGGAGAAGACTTTTCTCTCAGCTACATTACAACTTTCAAACTCCATTTGCAAACTGCTCCGGATCCCGCTTTTCTCAGCCCTGCCCTCTGTTTCTACCCGCACTGGCAGCCACAGAGGATCAGAACCACCTGATTCCCTACGGGAGCGACGCGGGCGGCCTTGCCAACGGCCCTGGGAGCGTGGACGGCCCTCTGGGAACGCAGCGGGCTCCTGGATGGCCCTGGGACAGGGACACGGGCTGCCCTGTCCACGATGTGTCCTCACTGCAGCGTGCTCCGAGCGTTTGTCACTGGTGTCCTTGCTCCTGTCACAGCACACGCCTGCGGCTGACCCGCCCCAGAGCTGCAACTCCGCGTGGGACCGAGCCAGCCGGAGCTTCTCCATGCCCACCACTGCGGTGTTCCCACTCTGCTCGCTAGGCAGGCTTTTATCCTTCGGGTGTGGGCTTTGTTCTGCAGCTTAAGGCACCACAGCTCAGCGGTGTTCCTGGCCTGGAGGGGACACGGCTGGTGGGTGGTGTTGTGGGGGTTTGCTGGGAATGCAGACTTGGCATGTTTGGGATGAGAGCACCCCTCCGTGGTATGGACAGGGTCCTGAGAACTCCTGACACTTTTTTTACTTGTCAAGCAGAAGCTTGTGTTAAAAGTCACCAAGGTTCCTCCCCCCTCCCCAATTAAAAGGATATTCTCATCGAGGAATGTTTCCATCGGGTAGTGAAATGTGTTTTTAAAGTGTGTAACTGTCTTCTAAAGAGGGGCATTGGGGTTTGCATCACTTGGGCTTGGTTTGGAGTTTTTTTCCTGGCTGCTGCTTTGGTTTCTTCTCTGTGAGGGTGGGGAGGCCCATGAATGGATTCTGCAGAGCAGCTGCGCCTGGATCCCTGCAAGTGTCCAAGGCCCAGATGGAAGGGGCTTGGAGCAGCCTGGGATCGTGGAAGGTGGCCCTGCCCAAGTGTGAAAACCAGAATTCACTGCTTAGAATTTTTCAACGTTTAATAATAATAGGATAAAACAAGGACAGTGTTTCCAGTGCTGGGGTGATCCTGGCCAAAGAATACCCTGCTGTTTTACAGACAGTGTTTCTGATGTTGTGGGAGCTCCTTTGTCTGACTGCTTATCCCCATGACATCCTGGGTGTCAGGTCAATATATTTTATTTCTTCTCAAGTCTCCATCTTGCTTGATAAGTGTTTAGTGTGTCCTCCTTAAATTTAACATAGTATTCTCTAATTGTCCTCTGGTGCTCTGGTTTGTGTCATGATTATCACTTGGACAGGCTGGTCAGTGGATGGCCTTACACTGCTTTTAGTTACACAAAAGCCTCTTTATTTTTTTACATCTTATGTTTTGCTAAGGTCTGTAACACAGTACATTCATCACACTATTATTTCCATAAGTGATACAGAGGTATTATATTGATTACACCACTATTTCTATAAGCATCACAGGGCATGCTTAAGGTGATAGATTGTATTATTTTAACAATACTATTCTAAATACTTATAATCACAACGACATGCATAAGCTACTACATAAATGAGAAAGCCAGTATTATCTGGTCATTTTTCCCCCATGGCAGGCAGAGGAGCAAGATGGGCTTTAAGGTGCCTTTGAAATCAAGCCCTTCTGGGATTCTGTGACAGCGTTGTCACCCCAAATCTTGTTTTCTGGGAATAACCCTGGGAAAACGCTCTGGAATCTGCCCATGCTCTGCCTTTCCCAGCATCGTGGGATGCTCTGGATGCAGCTGCCACAGGAATGTGCCCGGAGGGAGACTCCGTGATCTCCGTGGCCAGCTGTTCCCTCATGGACGTGGGGTGCCTGTGGGAGCCGTCACTGCCAAGTTCCGCCCGCCAGCTCCTACAACGGGCACACCCGAAGGAACGGCGGCACTGCGGTCCCAGTGCTGGGGGAAATCCAGGGAATGTCCCCGATCCTCGGGGAAGAGCTGCCTGCCCTTGTTCCCCTTTATTTCCCTGCGTCCCGTGGGACGTTGAGCCTCTCCCGGCGCCCCCGTCCCGCCGCCCGCAGTGGTACAGCCCGCTGGCGCGCGCCGATTGCGTCACCGCGAGTCGCCTGCGCCACCCGGAAGCGCTTTGGCGGCGGCGGCGGAAAAGCGGCGCGTGCGGCCGGTTTTGTTTGTGGCCGGACCCGCCGCGGGGGCTCGTACGCGCCTCCCGCGGGGGCCTCCGCTCGCCGTCCCACGATCGGCCCCATGGCCTTCAACTTCAGCGCCACGGCGGGAGCCGGGGCCGCCAACCCGACCGGTGAGCGCGGGGGGGCGCGGGGCGCGGAGGGGCGGGGCGGGGGGAACCGAGCAGCGGGCAGCGCGTGCCCCCCCCCTCTCCTGGCCAATGAGAGCCGCGGCGGCCGGCAGCGCGTGCCCCCCCGCCAATGAGAACAGCGGGCGCCTCAGAGGGCCGCGCGTGCCCCCCGGCCAATGGGGAATCGCGGCGGCGGCCCGCGCGTGTCCCCCTCGTGCTGCTCCCCCCGCCAATGGGAACCGCTGAGGCTAGCAGCGCGTGCCCCCCCGCCAATGGGGATCGCGGCCCCCTCAGGGACCCGCGCGTTCCCCCCCGTCGATGAGAATGACGGCGGCGGCGGCCCGCGCGTGCCCTGCGGCCAATGGGAGCGGCGGTGGCCGGCAGCGCGTGCCCCCCGGCCAATGGGAGCCGCGGCCGCCTCAGAGGCGCCGTCCCGCGCCTCGCGCGGACCCCGGCGGGTCCGGGAGTCGCTCTTGAGGCGCTTGTGAAGAGGTGGCTCGGATCAGCATTTTGCTTGCAATAAATTCGTCGTTTGGACGAGATGCCCTTGGAAGTTCATTTTTTAGCAAGGTAAAAGACGGGTTGACTTGTAAAGTTAGGCTTTTCCCCTTCTGCTTCTGTCACTGTCAGTCGTGGTGAAGTGTAGGACAGAACTTTCCTTGCCCTCACTTAGTGAAATAATTAATTGTTGGCTCCAAACAAGTCCTTGGGACAGGACTCATCTTTGCTCTAGTCAGCCTGAATTTTACTGTCTCTTTTACACACACTCTTTTTGGCCCCATCTGAAAGTAAAACATCACCTTGTGCTGCCTGTACACTGTGGCAAGGTTTGTGACACTCACAGACCAATATCAGAGGGAAATCTGGGATCACACATCAGGACTTCCCGTTGTCTGTCCAGCATGAGCCTGCTTCAGCTGCTTCCAAGGGCTGCTGGGCGTATCAGTAAATCCAGCAAGGCTGAGGTGGGCAGGTTTTGGCAATAGAATTTGGATAAGTCTGCCCTGGAGTAACTGAGGCTTGTGTGGTCCAGCCTCAGCTGCTGGAGCTGAGTTTCATGGTTATTCTGCTGTCACGTATCTGAGTTTATTATCTGTGTGAAGATGGTTTACTCTTGCCTTCCTGATATTTTAGTAATTTTGCTACTATGTGTTACACTTAAGATGAATGCAGCTGCACTGAGCAGTCTTAGGCTGTTGAAAATTACTGTTAATGTGAATATTGAATCACAAAGATATGGCTTTGAAATAAGGTGGGGAAATGCTACTGCTTTATGCACTGTATAATTGAAAAATAATGTCTTTACAGCAGCAGTGTGTGGAGCTTTTAACTGTCCTCCTTGTGTCCAACAACTAATATTTAATGCCACTTAATACCTTTTACTCTTGTCTGTAACTATGCCTGTCTTGCCCATGGGGATGGAAAAATGCTTCAGCTTTTCTTTCCTGGGACCTGCCTTTCACTCAGAACTAATGTTGCCTTGCTCTTTTTCTGCTTCCCGCTCGTCAGGATTTGGTGGGCTTGAAACTGCAAACTCCACTGCCAGTGGGTTTAATTTTGGGGGTTTCGGATTAACTGCTAATCCCGCGGTGAATTTTAATATTGGGAATTTCGGTGTTTCCACTACCTCAACTCCACCTTTCAATTTTGGTAACAGTCTGGCGAGCGCAGGTAGATAATGCCTAAATACGTGTTGTGTGGTAAATGTTACCAGCAGGGGTCCAAGAATTACATCCCTCACTGGGGATACGTGTCCACACCTAATCCTCATATCCAGTGAAGACTGGCCATTAAAGCTCTGGAAATGGAATGGGTTGGAGAGCCACAGACATGGAGGGGTTTTGCCTGTTAAATTCTCGAGGAATAGCTTTTGAGGAAAAATAACCCCATAGCCAAAAGTCTCTGGAATGGGAATGAATCCAGGTGATCCCGAGCAATCCCAGCTTTCCCCTGTTTCCTGACATGAGATTCTTGGACTACTGCGGTCGTGTTTTCATCTTCCCCCGTGTCTCCTCATCGGCCTTGCGTTGGCTGTCATGAACGCACCACACCTCAATAGTTTCTGTGCAGAAACGAATTGTATACGACCGGCACGAAGTCAGAGCCCAGCTGTGACCTGTTCCCCAAAGCCCTGCATCCCAAAACGGCCCTGCCCCAGCTCTCCGGGGACGCTCGTGCTCCAGGGAACCCTGCACGACATGGGTGCACTGTGGGGGGGTGGCTAAGGAAGCCCTTTGTGGCCCCATGGAGATCCAGCAGATCTGAGCCATCAGCTGATGTCATTTCACTTCAAATATTTCCCATTCCCTATAAAAACACCGGACCGGATGGATTTCTAGTGCTCGTGTTGGTGTGGAATTAGCCCAGGGGGTCCCGTTGCTGCTGCTCGTATAGGAATTCCGTCCATCCCACAGTGTCATCGCTCTCTGTGTCAGCGCCTCTCATCTGTTCTGTGCACTCCAGCAGTCCCATTGGGTTTATTTGCTGTGAACACTCTTGGGCTGGATTTCTTTGGCTTCATTTGAGCTGCTCCAGAAGAGACCGTGGGTAGTCCATTTGATATTTAATTTGATACTTTGGTATTCACTCAGGTCCCTTTTCAAGAAAGGATGACTAAATTTGCAGTGGGTACAAAGGTACCTAAAAATGGTGTTGTCTGCTGGTGCTCCTGCCAGGGTGTCCCGCTTGCTGGCAGGACTGAAACATGGGTGTTACAGGGAACAATTTCTTGTGTCCACTCACATCAAGATTTTTGCTGAGTGGACATAAAATCAGCTTTGATTTATGCTTTTCATTTTGTTTGTGGACAGGAGGACTGTGAGTGTAGTAGATCTAAGGAACCTTGTTTTTTTTTTTTGCTATTGACATGTCAGTTAGGAGAGACAGCATCTTTGTGACAAACCCTTCGTAGCAGACTGTCTTTTGTTGTTTGAGCATGTGTAAAAGCAGCGTGAAACACAGAGACCTTGGTTTCCCGGGCAGGTCAGTGCTCCGCAGGCTGCATCTTGGGCCAGTGCCATTGGCACCACTGGAGCTCAGGTGCTCACTTAGATCCTCTCCTGCTGGCTAGTGACTTCTTTTGCTGAAAACCTGTGGAAGGCAGACTGCTTTTGCATCCATCTACCTATACTAGTGGTTGAATCTCCAAATGAGGTGTAATGGGGAGGATCATTGGGAAACAAGGCTTTAAAGAAAAGGACCCTGTAGAATTGTACCTGTAAATTTTGCCTGTAAGCACAGCAACTGTGTGTACCTGGCCTCAGGCTTTGTTTTTTTTCCTGAGGTTAGGATTGTTTGTAAAGTTCGCAAAACATCAGGTTGTTTATTACACACTTAGCAGTGACATTGACCAGAAGTATTCCTGAGAAGGAATGTAAGAAATAGCACTGTTAGTTGTGTGTGTCGCTAGGGAAAGCACGTCCCTCTGGTAAAGGAACAAGATGTCAGTGGACTGCTGCCTTTTTGTTTGCTTTCATGACACACCATACAAGTTCTGGCTTTGTGGTCTGTGTTTTGTCCCCCATTTCCTTGGACGATGAACTCGATCCCCATGCTCACTGTGAACTACATGCTTGTGCCATGTGCCATCCGTCTGTCAGCACCTGTCCCTTAACACCCGAGGTCGCTTGTCGTGTTGTGCCCAGCTCCGGGGCCGTGTGCCGCTGCCTGACCGCAGTCTGTGCTTGGCAGGTGCCTTCGGAGGCTTTGGGACCACCACCACCACCGCGGCACCGGCGTTCAGCTTCTCTGCTCCCACCAACACCGGCACCAGCGGTAAGGGACCGAGGGGCTCGCTGCCTTCAGAGCAAATCCAGGAGTGCTTTGGATTACACGGCTGCTGCGCTCTTCTCAATAATCATGTACTTGTTTCCCCAGGACTCTTTGGTGCTACCCAGAACAAAG